AAGAGAAAAGAGAGGGCAATTTGAGACACAGAGGCAGAGGAGAAGGATGTGTGCGGATGATGGTTAGAGAGAGAGCCGTGTGCGCATAAAGCAAGGAATGCTGAGGGGTGCTGGAGGCCACTGGCAGCCGGAGCGGGGCTGGCATCAGGGCTGGTTCATCCTGAGGGCTGGGAAGGAGACTCTGCCCCAAGCTCCTCTCCTAGCTTCTGGTGGACTTGGATGTCCCTTCACTTATAAATGGCACTTTTCCCAGTCTTCACATTGTTGTCCCTGTACTTCTGTCTATCTCATGACCAAATTTTCCTTTTTATTAGGACACAGTCACATTGAATTAGGACTTACCCTAATGACTTCATTTTAACTTGATTGTCTGTAAAAGTCCTATTTCTAAATAAGGTCACATGCACAGGAACTAGGAGTTGGGACTTTAGCAACTTTTAAGGGGACACATTTCAACCCAAAACAAAAGGCATGGAACATATTTTCCCGTGTAGCCTTCAGAAGGAACCCACCCTGCTGGCACTCTGATTTGGGAATTCTGGCTTCCAGGGCTGTGAGAGAAGAGCTTTTTGTTGTTTTAAGCCAATGAGTTTGTGGCAATTTGTTTTGGCAGCCATGTTCCCCTGTAGGAAATGAATACATATTTAAAAGGCCATACCTTGTTATTCTTTGTTTCTTTCCCCTTTTTGGTTGTGTTGTCATTGCCTCCCAATGCCAGCATTCAATCTATGAATTTATTTTATTTCATTTTAATGTAAGTTATGCATACCTTTATGTACCATTTTATCATTAAATAGTTACTCGTGGTTATTGTGCAGGCAAAACTTCTTAGCAAAATGATAGCATTGATCATAGATACGTACCTAGACATATAACCATTGTTTTTCTTCCCTATCAAGGATATACTGATGTAGTTTAAGTGTTTCAATGATGCTGGTATTCGAGCTGGAATCTTTGTGTTTCTCTTGACTTTCTTCTCTTGGCTGCAAGGTGGCTGCCAAACAAAAACTCTCAGGTCATCACACGCTGCAGTCAGAGTCAGGAACAGATGCTGACATGGACATGGTGTCTGTCTTCATGTGCCTTTTTCTGATCAGGGAAGAGATACCTCCCACTTACATCTTATTGGTGAGAATTCGGTTTCATGGCCACATCGAACTGCAAGACTGGGAAAGAGAACACCTGACTTGCTAGGTCTCTGAACTGGAGGATGACAAGGGAGAAGGGAGAAAAGTAATTTACCAACAACCCCTGCTGTGGCCCTTAGCCATGCCATTTAGGGCCCTGGGCCTTTATGTTCATCAGACATCTGATTGGCTTGGTCTAGTTCAGTGAGCCTTAAAATGTAACATGCATCAGAATCACCCAGAGAATTTGTTAAAATACAGATTCCTGGGTCCCATCCCCAGAGAGTCTGACAGGCGTCCCAGGGATGCTGAGGCTGCCTCTCCACGGACTGCGCTCTATGTGGCTCTGGTCCAACTCATTACTGGTACCACTGTTGTCATTATTGCCCAAGGATGGTAAGAAAATGAGTGATGGTCAAGAGGGCTACATTTTTAACTCTGTTATTGCTGCTACTATAAAAATGTTTTAAAATACTAAAAAGAAGGAGAGAGAAAAAAGATTTCCAATTGTCTTTTAGTGAGCATCTATTTTATCTATTGACCCTTTGGCCCCGGATTTGGAGAACTCACTTTGGTGCTGTGTGGGCCTAGCTCTTCACTGTGAAGTGGAAGTGCTAAACGGTATGTAATATTACTTCCTTTTATGCTGTCACTTCTATGATTCATTGTTTTGTTCACTTAGCAAAACTCTTTCCTTTAACAGATATTTTTGAGCACCTACCCAGGGTCAAGTCTTGTGCTGGGAACATCCGGTGTCCCTGTGTTCACTCCATGTATAGGACTTCTCATGCTTTATTTTACAGATGTAGGAATCAAGGTTAAATGATCAGCCTACGTGAGTTCAGTGGTGGAAAAATTATCAAACAGAACCGTGCAGACAATGAACACTCCTGCTTGAAAGCCGATTAGATCACCCTTCAACTCCACGCACCTTGAAGGACCTGAATGGAAAGACTCAGTGTTCCTGAGCTCATATGCAAGAAAAGACATGCTTCCCTTACTCAGAGGATATGTTTGTTGTCTTTTGCAAATCAAAGTATGAATTGTTTAATGGATTTGGCTTTTCAGCTTGAGTATCTTGTAAAGAGAGAGAGAGGCAAGGGAAGAAAGAACACAAACCCATTTAGTTTGGTAGCTGTCCGTTGATTAGCTCCCAAGTAGGCATAAGACATTTCAGCACTTAGTACATCCATCAGGTCGGATTTCAGCTCCACCCACAATGAACAAGCTCTGCTCCCAGGGACTCTCGGCTCCTTTTTGCAACCTCAGGTAGGATGATGTCCTGTGTGAGAGAGAAGGAGCTGACTTGCTGTGGACTCCAGCTCAGTGCCTCCTGCCAACCCGCCACATTCCAGAAGAATTAAATAATGAAGGGGGTGGAGGCACCACTGTCACAAACAATTTTGAATGCCCTCTGCATTAGAAATCAGAGGTCTCTTCATGACATCAGATCCACATGCCGGAGGCAGTTTCCAAACCCAAACTGCTGACCAGTGGGAGTGGGGGTACAGACAGCGACAGCCGCAAGCGCCACCCTCAGCTTCTCTGTCGGGCACTCGCTGGCTGTTGTCAGGGCTGGCAGAGGGGCATCCTGGGGAGCCTAGTGTTCCTGTGGATCCAAGAACCATCCTGCTTTTCATTTCCTTTTCACTCCTTCATTGGGCTCTTGCATGCTTGCACTTGACCAGGGATTAAAGAAATTGTGTGCATGAGCCAAGCTGGAAAGGCAGGGGGAGAGCGAGGCACAGCCTGCAGGCACCGGTGAGAGCTGAGTTCTTCTGGGCCCAGCCGTGAGGCTAAACCAGTGCCCTACATGGCAGCCAATCGCTCACCCATTTGCTAAGTCTTAAATTGGGCAGCTACCTCAAGCCAACCAGGGCTCCTTCAGCTGTCCCGGCATTTCCTGCGATGGGAAATTTGGTTTCTCACGTCAAGCACACTGCTTTGGCATTTCTTGAAACTTTTGAGTAGAAAACCCTATCAACATTATCATAATTTTAGATCTGATTTTTTGTGGGGTTCGCATTAATTAATGGAAGCACCTTTATAAAAGTTTTTTGTTGTTGTTTATTTTTCAGTTGATCTGATTGTCCCCTAATATTGTTAGGAGTTGTCGAAACTATGGCTAAACCAATGGCTGGAGATAATAAAACTAGTTAGAAGAGTTCGTGAAGTTTCCGAATCATCAACTTAATTATTATACCTACTACTACTGTTACGAAGACTTTTCATGCCGTTAGTATCACTTACTACTCTTACAACTGCCATTACCACTACCTCGACTAGTGTAACAACTAGTCTTCCCCTTACTACAGTGCTGTGATAAATGATAGACATCCATGGCTCATTTATTCTTTGCACTCATCCATTTTACAGATAAGGTCTAGATTAGTTATAGAACTAAAGTCTCAGATGGTTGGAATCAAACAGGGCCCTCGGCCCAGCTCTCTTTGTTACCAAAAGCTGTGATGTTAATCATGCTGTTGTATTGCCTCTGGTCTCAATGGTGGGGAAAAAGTAGCAAAGGAGAACAGGATGTAGCTGGAGCCCGTAAGGCTCAGAAACTCGGTGATCATTGCGAACATTCATTATTTTTCATGTATTCATTAGTGAATGAATATTCATGAAGCAGAATCCTGTGCGGGGTTCTGGGCTGGGGCCACCGCGGTGACAAGGACACCATCTGGAGGTTGGAGGAACTTGGAAACAACCTGAGGTGAGGACAGGCAGTGCCCTGGAGGCCATTCAGCCTACACGTGGAGGAACAGAGAAAACAGCTGAGTTCGTCTGTTCCCAGGTGGTGCCTGGAGGAGCTCCACGTGAGCTGGATGGTGAAGCAGGAAGAGAAAGAGCTGGTGAAGTGGGTGAAAGGGCAAGGAATTCCAGGTGAGGGGTGCCACAGGACGCAGATGCAGAGGAGCCAGGGCAAGGAGGGACTTAGAAGGTGTTCTGGAGCTTGTGGAAGGTTGGTGCAGAGGGACCTCAAACCCCAGGCTCACAAAGGGGGCGCGCCTGGGCTGTGGGCAAAGGAGTCAGGCTCACCAGCTTGGTCCTGGGCACGGCTCCCTTCTTAGTTTCCACTCCCTCCCAAACTCAGCACGCACGTGGGAAACTCACAGCACAAGGTCACTGGTTAGCATCTTCCTTTCTGATTTAGGTCCCTGATTTAACCCCTCAAATCCACCCTTTCTTCTATTTCTGCAGAAATAGTATTTGGCACAAGAGCTATTGATCCACACCTACCTTCACCCTGAAGCCAGAATACAGTGTGTGCCTGGGGACGGGGAGGGGTTTGGGGAGGGGGACCAGGTGTTACCATGAGTTACCCTCATCCCTCATTCTTGCTTATTTTCAAGTATGTGGAACGGGGATGCTGGTGATTTACCCAAACTGTATCACGGAAGAGCATGGGAGAAAGAGGTTTACAGAACTGCACAGTTATTGTAGCTGCTGCTCTAGCTGTTGATTACACACCCCGCCCCCTGGTCACGGTGTACCAGCAAGAACCAGCAAGTGGCCTGATCACCCTGGCCTCTGCCCTGCGGGACCTCTCTCGGTGCCATAAAGGTTGCCGTCCGCCTGATGCCTTTTGGGCTGTAGCTTTTGGGCTCTTAGAACTTTCATAAGTCCTGGGGCAGTGGGGATGACTTTTCTTTGATGAGCTGTTTGATTTTGTGCTTTAGAAGCAGCTGGATCTACCTTCTACGGTCAAATACATGATTTCAACCTCAGACATACGTTATTTCAACTTGAAGTTTTGCATCACCCGAGGCCACTCCCACTAACTGGAGAGCGGGATGGCTGAGCGCCGTGGGAGGGGGACCAGGGCGTGTCGGCAGGAGGCTGGCCAGCTTGCAGGTCCGGACTGGAAGCAGCCCTGGGTGGAGGGGTGCAAGGCCGCTGGCTCGGGTTCCCTGGCCTGTGGACCTGCTCTCTCAGACCTCAGCGTGAGACAGCTTCCTGCGGGTCCTCCGGGCGGCCCTTCCCGCCGCATTCCATTTAGAGTCTCCCGCCTCGTTCCTTCTCCATTTCCCTTCATCAGAAGAAAGACTGGACGAGCACTTAACAGAGGTAAAAGAACATGTAGGTGATGGGGAGACTGGGTGTCCCTTCTTTCCCCTCTAAAATTCTGTGGGTCTGTTTTCTTTGGGGGGTGGTCATGGTCACCAGCTTCCTATCATAATACTTTCTTAGACGTAATGCTAGGTCCAACTGAAAGTTAATTTACCAACTCTCACAACAACAATAATATAAACAACAGTATTTGTATGGTATTTAAAATAAGTTTGTGAGAATCTTCAAGTATGTTATTCCTTATTCAGTAAGCATTCACTGAGTGCTTGCTCTGTTGGAAGTCCTGTAGACAGCCCTGGGAGTCTCTGATCCAGTTTCAGAGAAGACACAGCACAGGGCGCCCACCCACGTGCTGTCAGAGAGGAAAGCAGGCACGGGAGGGCTGACCAGCAGCCCCTGAGAACGCCTCACCATTGCCCTTCACAGATGTGACTCATCCCCTTTGGGCATGAATGTCCCTCTAGACAGTTAGTTCTTGGAGGGCAGAGACTCTTACCTTGCTCACCCTGTCAACGCAGCCCAGGGTTGGGACCCATTTCTGGGTGCCCTCTGGTCAGCTGCTTGGCTGAATATTCAGCGCTGTGGTCTGTCCCCCTTTGATGCATCTCACTGAATTTTCCTAATGCCACCATCTCCTGTGCCCCTCCTGCCTCCTGGGACACTCCGCCCCCATATGTGGTGAGCAATTGGTTCTGGGTCGTCTTCCTTCTCCCTGTTTCCTTTCCCCAGGCTTCCTCAGTCTTTTCCGTGACTTTAAATGACAGGGAAAAGCTTGCAACTCCCAAGTCTAGCTAACCAGCCTGACCTCAGTGAGCCCTAGACTTCTGACGTCTCCACTTGGATATATGATGGGGACTTCAGAAACAGTGTTCAAAGGGACCCCCTTTCATTGCAAACCTGCCTTTCCTTACCAGTCTCCAGGATTGGTATGCCTCCCTCTCACCTGCCCCAGGTTAATGCCAGAAGCTACGAGTCTCTGAACCATTTTCTTTCTGTGAAAAACCTACTCCAGTCCAGTTCCTCAGCAAGTCCTGACGGTTCTGAACAGTACTGCACTTCAAGGCCGGCCAGTCCTCCCGCCGGCCCAGCCCCGATGCCATGACACCGCTGGCGGTCCCAGCCACCATGGCCCCTTCCTGGGTTTATGGCAACCTTCTGCCAGCGGGTCCTCCTCCTTCCATGAGAACTCCCTGACGGGCCTGCCCTCCTCAGAGAGCCAGGATGAACTTACACCTGTGAGTCACTACAAAGGGAACATGTCAATGTTTCCCCCTGAATTGAGATTGAAATCCAAAGTCTTCATATGGCCGATGCACTCGGGACCACAGGATTCGGAAACTGCTCTCTGCCTGAATCATTTCACAGCTTCATTCAGTGCGCACCTCTTGGTCCCCCAGACTCTACCCAACTGAAGCCTTCCCAGCCTTGGTGCCTTTTCCCGGGCCATGCCGCCACCTGGAAGGGTTCTACCTCTCATCCTGCAGGTGACCCTGTTAAAAAGCACCACCTCTGAGAGGCCTCGCCAGGCAGCCCACCCTTGCCAATTCTGGGTTCCATTGCCCTGGTTTATTTCCTTCCCCATGTCCCCACTACTTACATCATATGGGAGTGTCTGGTCACTAGAGTGTAAGTTTCCTGAGGGCAGTGGCATCTCTATGGCTATTCTTTGCCACAGTATAATTGTGTGCAACATGGTGGCTGGGGCATGATACACCCTACATGAATATTTGCTGAATGGATAAGTAAATCCTTAAACACGTTCTCTCCATAGGGTTATGAGCAGCCTACCCTAACAGGGGCATCCAGGGTGAGGAGTCTATGTCTCTTCAAACTAAGTAAAAAATACATTTGCTCAAATAAGATTGATTTCTTAAAGAAAATATTTTTTGTAAGAAAGAAATACTGATTTTCATCCTCTCTGTTTAAATGCCAAGGGTGTTGAACAAACCTACTTAGCCAACTACTATTAATCACTCTTAAGAATTACTTATTTTTAATTAAGTGCTTGGTTATTAAACAGTAAAATGTATTCACCGCATGGAGACTATGTTCCTCTGTGCTCTGACTTCTCTGAGTCTGGCCAGGTAAAAGGGCTTTGTGTCGTGGATGTCTCTAAATCCCATGCTAGGGATTAATGGTGTTATTCAACCCTTCTCTGATTCTGCCACACACACTACAGGTCTCCCTGTGCACAGTGCGTAGATTGAGCTACTGGGGAGTCCTGCAGTCAGGAAACCTCTTTATCCTGGGTATTTCCTCAACTTATTTTGGGATGCAACCCTTCCATCTTGTTGTCTAACACTTTGCTATGAGAGCTGTGGCTGGCGACCCAGCACCATGGCATCAGGAGTCTCAGGCCCTGGGCCAGATGCAACGAGTCAGAATGTGACTTAAACAAGATCCCCACGTGATTCATATGCACATTGAAGTCTGAGAAGCACTACTTAAGGCAGCAAAGAGATCATGTTATCCCGCATGACTGTCCCAAGGATGCTTTACAGTGGATTGTATCACTCCTCTTTTAGAGGTGAGAAAACTGAGATCTAGAAAGGGCACATGACTTGCTCAGTTTCTCATGCCTAATGAGCAGCAGACTTAAGACAGGAAGAACCCACCTTTTTGTCTCCCAGTCTTTCCATGCTAGAATGTCAGATCAGAATATAACAGTGGGAAAGTACTGATTTTTCAGATTCCAAAATAAAAGTTTTTAATCACGAATCAGAACAAGGAATAGCCAGCTATTCATGTTAAAGAGGTTTGGGGGAGGAGGGCCAGGGACGAAGGAGATGGGAACTTCATCAAGTCTTCTGGAGAAAGGCAGACTAAATTTGGGATTTTTGTTCCCCTGGCTCCATCCCTGCTGGTTCGCCATGGACATCTGGGTACCCACTCAGAGTCCCAGTATGCTTACAACTGGTGTTGCTGGGTGGTTGAGGCATACACCGTTGTCCCTCGAGAATGCTAAGTGTGCTGAAAGATGTCTCCTCCATGCCACACGCCTGTCAGTACGGGATGAGTTCTCATCACCTGGATTATCAGACTGTTCAAACTCTTCCAATCTCACCTGTGATAAATGATGTCTTATTCTTGCTGAATTCGCATTTCCTGATTATTAGAGAAGTTGAGCATCTTCCCATAAATGTGCAGGCCATTTGAATTTCCTCTTCTACTCTTATCACTCATTTTCTTTTCCATGGTTTGACTTTTCAACATTAATTTGTATATTGTTTTTAATGTTATAGATGTTTTCTAGTGTAGATTATGTCTTATATTCTGTTCATTAAATTTTTTGGTAGGAAATTTCTTTTTAGGAATTTTATATGGTTAAATGTTATTTTTCCTTTATGATTTTCATTTTATTTTGGTGCATTTTGTTTTAGAAAGCCTTCTCAATTCCAAAGTCACAAAGCATTTTCTTAGTATATTTCTATAGGTATTTTTTTTTAATGATTGGGTATTTATTTCTCCTTGAATTAATTTTTCTCTTAGGTAGGGACTAGAGTAGTAATTACATTGTACTTTTTTCTTTATAATGGGTGGCTGTTTCTCCCAAGTCAGACATTAAATAGATGTGACCCCTACTGTATTAATTAGGGGTTACATGCTGACTACTGTAATAAACCTTGTTCCTTTTTAACTCACACAACTTAGTTTCAACCTAGAAGTTAATGTAGGTCAGGTTGCTCAGCCTGCAGCTCTTCTCCGTGCGAGTTTGCAGAGGTCTCATTCCATCCTGAACTTCAGTCATGTTGGAGATACAGAAGTTATAGATCCATTTTATATGTTTTACAAATCTTGTATCTTAACACTGGCATTTAAGTTTTCTCTCTGAAAAAAGCCTAAATGCATCACTGCACTTTCCTCCTACTTGAAAAGAAAGACTTAGATGTTCTTTTACTTTACTTTCATCCCCTCTCCTCTGTTTCCATGTTATTTTAGTCCCTGAAATTTAGCTTCAGCTTATTATTAAGCACATAAAATCAGAATTCAATAATAATCATGAGTCCCAGTGGTTCGCTGGGATAGCAGACAATCTCTTAGCTGACCTACATTTAACCGACTGGCCAGATTAACCAGGGCTTCCCATTTCCTCCATGAACTTCAGACTGGTGCCCACCGATGTGGAATTAGGCCGCTGCCTCGGAGGCCTCTGCACTCACCAAGGGCACCAGGACCGTAGAAACCGTCAGTTATGTTTGTTCTCAAAACTGATTATACCAGGTGTAAATTATGTGGTTCATTAAATACTACAGGAACCAACGGAACCTGAGTGGAAGAGAAAGCGTTGTTTCCCATGAAAACCACATAGAATTACATGAAAGATTCAGAAAATGTAACATACAAAATTCTATCTAATTAAATACAGCAAAGACAGATCTAAAGGAATGAAAACATTTGTAAACTATTGGAAAGATTCTACCTTCAGATTTCTTGTCCAATTAATTGTTCACTCTAAAGAAAAGAAAGTTAAAAAAATTAGAAAGTTAAAGAAAAATTTCTTTGTGTAAGAGATAAAGTACAGAACTCTGATTAGCCAAGGTATATGTGAATTAAAAAGCTTCAAGCCAATAAGTTAACAAAGGAATCATTTCTATGTGAAAAATTTTAAGTAAAAATAAATTTCTTTTAAATAAAATAAAACTTTGTGGTCTTGACAGATCACTGTTTTTCCCTTTTCTACCTAGCTGTCCTACATTCGTAGATATAAGAGCTCCCACTTTATTATTGCCAATAATAACTCTCCTTACTGTTAATAATTATTTATTAAATATCCTTTTGTCCTCTATGATTTCCAGTTTTTCACTATATCTTGTCTTTTGCTATTCACTTCATTTCTTCTTGCTAGATTATATCATTAAGATTTTATATATATATATATATGTATATACATATATATATATATATATTTATTTTTTTGGTAAAATTCTGGAGGTGATAAACTCTCTAAAACCTTGTATGTGAGTTAAGTCACCTTCATGGCTAAGTGTGGAAGTCACTTCCTCTGGGTGTACATTGTACTTCACTCCCATTTGTTCTAATGATCTTATGTTCCTAATTCCATATGTCCTTTAACTTGCACAGAACTGAGATCCCTAAATCCACAAGTAGATATAACAAACTTCTGTAGCCTCAGAAGAGTCTAAATAAAAAGAAATTACATTGTGCATACGTGTGTACATGTTTGTCCCAAAACTTAGCAGAATTTAAAATAACCTGATTTATTCCATTTTCACACTCCTATCATATATTGAAAAGTAGTTCCAGATTAGAGGAAAAAAATAGTGACCTATTTTCTTTAGCAAAATAATGTTAGAAGTGGAAAAACACTTCACATGAAACTTAACCATGAGGGTTCATCAAAACATTGCATGAAAGTAATTGTTTTCAGACTTAAAATGCCTGTACACATGTATACAAACTCACTAGAGAAAATTACAATTAAAAAAAAATCTAAGTTATTTAGTAAATGTGGGGGATTATTTCCAATGGAAAAAAATAAGAGTTTCAAAGCTATGTGAAAGTGAACTTCAAAAATAAACCAGCATGGAGAAGAAATGAAGAGATAAAATCCATAATTTTCTATTTTGATAACAGTAAAAGTTAAGATGATTCAGGGAGCTTTAAGAACACTTGCAGTATTGAAAAATGAATTTGTTATCTCAGGGCCTGTCACACAGCTATTGGTGTATTATTTCTAAGTCTTAAAATCAGAGCCCACTGAGAGGGTATCTGAAAAAGGGAGAAGGAAGGAACGAAAGGGGAGGTGGGCTTTAAAACTATAAATAAATGAAGAAGAAATAAAATTGCTCCATCAGTCATTGCAAGAAAGACTTGGACATACATCTGCTGCACTGGGTTATTTTGAAGAGAAAAGCACAGCCCTGCCTCATGGAAGGGTTTCATGTTATTTTATAACTGTCCTTCTTAATTGTTAGGATTCTGACCTTGTTACCTTCAGTTTTGTTGCAAAAATGGTGCCCTCAAACAATCATGCAGGCACCATCTTGCCTTGTGATGCAGTACCGAATAAAGGCCCAAATGTGCCTACCGCCTCATACCTGAAGCTTGTAATAAATGTTTCCTTACATGGCAAAAGGGAGTCTGCAGCTACGATTAAATTAAGGATCTCTGATGGGGGGTTTATCCTGGATTATCAGTGGGCATGATTTAAGTCACAAAGGTCATTATAAGAGAAGGTGAGGTGACATCAGAAGCAAGACTCAGTGGTAAGAGCAATTCCATTTCCTGGCGAGGACCCTGAGCCAAGGACTGGCAGCCTCTAGAAGCTGCAAAGGGCAAAGGAATGGACTGATTACCCCTGAGGCTTCTGAAAGCAACGCGGTCCCGTGACACCACAATTTTAGGACTTCTGATCTCCAGAATTGTAAGGAAATATATTTGTGTTGTTTTAAGACACTATGTTTGTGCAGGACACCTAGGGCTGCCTTTCAGGTGATGCTAGAATATGTGCCTTCTCCAGCCTTCCTCCCTGGCTTCTCTCTCAACCCCTAAGAACTTATCTGACATTGAGGTCCTGAGGTTTTGAGTTCGAGACACACAATGAACGTCCCTTTAGAAACCCAAGTTCCCTTATCTGGGGCTCAGGTTCTTTATTTTTCATCCAAGGCCAGTCTCTTTCCTAAGGAGAAATGGTCTGAGGGAAGCTCCCACACCTGCTCCCTCCCAGAGGCGAGCGGACGCCCCCTCCAGCCTCCATGCCATCCCACAGGGGACAGACGGAGACCTTTTCCTGGCACAAACCTGGCTCTCCAGGCCCCTCCTTTGCACTCTTCAACAGCCTTCAACTGCCTTTCCCACAAGTGGCTCCCTCCCCAGCTGGGCCCCTTTCCTGCCCGCCCTCACCATCCCTCACTACGCCCACCCCACGCTCTAAAGTCCCCACCTTCTCCAGTCCCTGCACCTCAAGCCCACTTCCTCGTGTGTTCTTGATGCAGCCGGGTCCCTGCCCCCTGGAGGCTCTTTCTCCTCCTGTCCCATGACTCCTTCTCATCCTTACCTTCTCCCAGGAATCCTTCCCAGACCTCCACCTCCCCTGGAATAGGACCAAGGTCACGTCTCTCTTCTCTGTGAGCAGCCATCTCCCACCCTGTACAATGTCCACACCACTTGTCCCATTTTACAGAACTATTCATTCAATGGGCTGCTTTTCTTAATGGTCTTTCCTTTCCTAGGACCACAGTTATCAGAGTGGGTCCCTCCCACCAGCGGTATCAGAATCACTGGGGAGCTTCTGAGAAAACCTAACCCTAAACCTACCAAAGGAAGAACTCTGGGGAGGGGACAAGTGCTTTGTTTTGACGAGTCCTCCAGGGGATCCTGACCAATGCCAACTTTGAGAGCCACTGGCCTTAAGGGTGAGTACTGTTTCTTAGTCATCCAGGAATACCCAAGCACGTATTTAGAATTTATTAAGTATTCCTGGAGTTGATACAGTAATTTTACACCAAAGAGTAGACTGAGTGAGTTGGTGAGTATCAGAATTTGGTGTATGGTATCTAAGGAATCCTCACAAAAGCCTTTGGTAGGCAGTATTATTGTTTCAACTTTTATGGATGGGGCAAATAAGGCTCACACAGATTGCCTAAGGTCTGCCTCCTTGCGTTATAAGCAAAAGTGAATAGAAAAGGTTTTACAAACGGTACTTTCCCATCTCCACACCTGCAACCCTCAGATACTTTCATTGGATGGATTTCAACCTTGGGAAACTCAAACCAAAGTCTGGGCTCCAGGACCGGGTTCCTCATCAAATTGGTCTGGTGTCGGGTACCAGCATCTGTGTTTATTAAAATAATCTTCTACTATGAGACCAGGGTTGAAAACCACTGCTGATGGAGCTGCCCTTCCCCAGCCAAGCCAAGGGACCCAGGGGGATAAAATTCTCCACCTGGGGGGCACCAGTCATGTCTGCAGTGACCCCTGACCACCACCCAGGTTCCTGTGCTGACCTGTGGCTTCTCGTGAGGCTGCCCCTCAGCCTGGGGTATTGCTCCATTTCCTGGGTGTCTGTAATTCATCTGGTCTTTTGTTTGGCAACTGATCTTGGGCCTCCTTTTCTGGCAACACTTAGGAATTCCTTCGGGTAAGGCTGTGATTTTCTCCTAACTGCTCATACCATGACTGAGGGTAAGGGGTGCCCTCCCCTCCCACAGTCCCCAGGCCTTGTCATCATCTCTTGATTAGCCTCCTGCTGGGGGAAGGGAAGTGGGCAGATGTAAACTCTGAAGTGCTTGCAAATAGTATTGTTCTTGCAACCAGCGCCGTTGCGAGTACACCATTAAGAGCTCACGGACAGGAGGGTGTCATCAGGTTTGAAACATGAACTTCAACATGTGACAAAACCTAGACTTTGATGCAAGTGTACTGGTCAAAGTTGAACACTCACATTCCATTAATGTCTCTTACAAATTACTTTTCTAATTAAGTGCCTGCTTATTAAAGACACAATCTGTCACTGCATGGCTGATGCCCGACCACATTCCCGTTTCTTCTTTGCTTTGTCCAGATGTTGTTTACGAAGGTGTGTTTTCTGAAAATTCTTCTTAGCTATCCTATCCCTGAAGTCAACGAGCCACGCGTAGCCCAGCCATCTAAGAACCACTCAACAAATAGCAGCATTTGGGGTCTTGAGTTAGAATGTTGCTTGTTTTCTGGGGCCGAATGAGACAATTGCTATTAATCAACAGCCCTGGAAGGATATCACTTTAGATCCACTGATTCTGTCTGTTCTCTATTTGACCAAAAGACAAATGGACAAACTGCTGGCCTTTGTGGGAAGGAGTTCTCCATCCCTCGGCACAGAACTAAGGGTGTATAATGTTGATACTAGAAATGAAAATGATGGGTTATGTCTATAACCCTATTTGGGCACACACAGGTCAGCTGTGGAGTCTTTTTATATCTAAGAAGTTTAAAAAACCAAAGTAATTAAAAAGATTTCCATTCTGGGCTCAATTCCCTCACAACCTATTAAAAGGAATTGGGTCACCGTCGTTCCTGGCATGCCCTTTGTCTTCTATTCCCGGTCATTCGTGGACTGTGTTCTTCTTAGACACATCTTCATACATTGAACAAACAGGAGCACCTTGTTTTCTGTCCCCATCCGTGTGACTCTCTTTCTGCCTTCCCTCTTCTCCCAGATGTGTCTCAGCCCTTAAAAAGTTGATCCATCCATCCTTACTTTCAACTGGAAAGAATCTCCCTGTAGGAAGGAGGAAATGGGATTCTTTGTGTGTGTGTGTGCTTGGAAAGGCGTGATATCTGTGACTTTTCTCCTATTAATGATCTGTATCCTATAAAAGATACTACTCATTTAATATTTACTAAATTCATTAGAGCAAGAGCTCTAGGTTTTCATTAAATGTTCCTGGCAAATCTGATGACATCTCACTAGCCCATTTACAGTGCAGGAAGCCCCATCCATGGAAGTTAATTGGTTCACCCAAAGCCCCTTTGAGAGACCTTCAAGCCAGTTGAAGTGGGCATTCTTAACTGCTCCACCAGCCTTTCAATGGAGAACAGCCTGCCCTAAAAATTGTTAAAGAAAAAAAAAAAAGAGCCATGTCCATGGAGTCTGTTCCTTAATTAGAAGGCAACAAGGTCAAAGGAGATCTTGGAATTTGTTTCCAATGAATAGTTTTATCCGCATTTTATGAATACTGACTGGAGGCTTTCTAAGAACCATGCAGTAGTTTTGCTTGTGAGCTGGGACCTGACCCTGGTAAGGAGCTGTTTCAGCGAGAAGATGCTGGGACCTGAAGGTGGGTGGCTCTGGGTGCACCTTCTTCCCGCAGTTGCTGTGTAGCAGTTAGTGTATCTCCTCCGAGTTCTGCAGCAGGCACCGCATCTATAAACATCACATAATAATGGGTGCTATAAAAATGCCTAGTTAGGAAATACATGGAGAGGGTTTTGCCTGAAACCAGTCACACTGTGTAATTTCTACAGTTCATGAGGTGGTCATGAACTGTGGCTCTGAGAAAATCTGAGTCACAAACACTAACACAACCCTGAAACTGTGCATCAGTGACTTGAGCTGGTGACTGAGCCACATTCTTCTCAGGCTTCTAAGTTCCTCCAGTGATTCTTGCTCCAACAATCTGCTCCCTGACCTGGGCAGTGACTTGTCCAAGGCCAGGGAACAAGCCGCAGCAGAGCGGGTCCAGCAATCTAGTCTGTCAAGGGCCTTCTTTCCTGCTGTGCCGCGGGGCCTCCATCCTCTCTCCCTCCCACAGCTGAGCGCTGGTAGTTCTGACATTGGTTCGTGTGGGGGAAGCTTTCACAGGGGGTGGGGGAAGCCAGGCTCTGCTGGAGACACAGAACCCACGCATGGACAACCCACCAGCTCAGCAAATCCAGGCCCACCGGACCCAGAGAAAGATCCAGGACCGACTCTCCGTAGACCTGCAGGCTTGTGCACTCCCGTCTGAATCCCTAGAGGTTCCCTGGAGTCCCCAGGAGGTTTCCTGGCTGGTGGTAAGTCTCAAACGGATGTGCAGAGCAAAGAGGTGCTACACGGTCTACAAGCCGGTCATGGGGCCGAGGGGAGAGGTGAAGAGAAGGCGCCCAGCTGTCGGATTTCCTTGGCTCATGAGTCTCAAGTTCGAGGGCAGATGTGTCTTTCCAGTGAAGTTCAGGGTCTAGTCGAGGCAACATAACCCTTTCTAGGTATCTCAGAAGGATGATGTTTCACGTGGGCATTAGTGACACACATGAGGGAGAGTAAAGAAGGCCATCTAGGCAGATGGACACCCAGGGAAGGGGGTCCATGGGGGGAAGACTGTGCTCTGGAGTCGCAGCCAGCAGGAGACACAGCAACTCCAGAGGTGCTCAGAGAAGGGCAGCAGAATGTCCTCTGGCTTCTCCCTGCTGCTCGACCTCTGATCTTCCAGCAGCACCTCCCAGGAGACCAGTCGTCCAGGAAGCCAAGGACAAGTCAGTCAGGGAAACAGCAGCAGGTGTGGGAGAGAGGATGGTCTGTTACACAAGCACTGGCCACACCTGGCCGGAAGGAGTTTCTCCATGCATCTGATTGTCTAATGTGTCCAATAGGAACTCGGGCATCTGAGGGGCGAGGTCCCTCTTCTGGCCCAGAAGACAGAAATGATGACAGAGAGTCAAGTTGTGCATGTTAGCTTCTCCCCTCCCTTGATATTTAATTAACTCCATAATAGCAACTATAGCCTAGATGCCTTCTTATTTTTATGGAAGTGAAGAGAATGCAGATGGAAATAAGATCCACTTTCTGCAGGGTTACCTGCAGGTGAGAGGCACTGTGGTAAACACTTGACTGATTCCTCATTAATCCACTCATCAGTCCTAGGAGGGCAGTTTTATTATGTCTACTTTACTAATGAACAAATAAAATGAAGGGCAGTCAACTTGCCCCAGGTCACCAAGCTTCCCTGAGGATGATCCAGGAGCTCTGAACTCACCTCTGAGCCTCAAGCCCATGTTCTTCCCAATATCCTACCTCAACCAAAACACCCCGTACAGACCCAGGAGAGGCGGGGGCCGCATGTGGTCGCTTAGTGAACGCTCGAGTTTTCTGTTTTAGCATTAAATGGACTGAAACAGGAAAGGAAAAAGAAAAGAAAAGAAGAGACAAGAAAGGGAAGGAAAGGGAAAAAAGAATAGAAAAGGAAGGGAAAGAAAAGATCAGCAAACCAGGCTGTGGATTTTGTTTAGGATAAAAGCTAATTTCAGCAAAAAGGACAAATGAAGTTGCCTCACATTCTGACATGGTTTTCAGAACCCAGAGGTAATAGCAGCTCCTGTTCTGATTCAATCGTTGCATGTCAAGGTTGGGCCTTTGAATCCCTTGCATTTCCCTTTCCAGTACCTTCCGTGAGCTGTGTGTTCTCCTTCTCCTCCTCGGGAACCTGGGTCCCCTCTGAGAACGTCTCTGAGCCACTTGCCTATTGTGAAAAACAAAGTATGCACTGTGTTCACGATGAATGTATCCCAATGTCAAAGGCATAATTACTGAAACCACATGGAAACAAAAAATGATAATTCATGTGAGGCACCCAAGTCACTCAGGCTTCTTTCTCAGAGTATTTGAACAGCTTCCATCACAAGCAGCGGGGGCAAAAGGTTCTCTGTGAATTATCCCCAGGCGGGATGTGCGGTGGGGAGGCAAGGGGAGAGCCTCCCTGGGACCAAAGCTCGTGGCCTCGCCTCTGCCTCTGACCTTGCCTGGAGGGGCCTGGGAGGGGGCTCATTCATCTTCTGTTCCTACTTCATTTTCAAAATATGTTCTTGCAGCAGCCAGAACTCTTTAAAGAGTATGACTGTGTGTCTCTTTAGGAGGCAGGCGGTGGCAGATGGGTAAGTGTGAAATGTTATCTGGGATCTCACACCATGTGACATGCACAAAACACCCCTGGAATCACAGCTTTCAATTTATGGCCAAAGAACTGTGAGAGCATTTGGGTTTTGGAACTGGATGGACGGAATATCCAAGAGATGGCGGGGTGGGGTGCGGGTGAGCCTCTTTGGCAAGATGCCTCCCAAATCATCTAATTTATATCATCTTGAAAATGATAGGCAGCTGATAAATTTGGTCCTAGTCACTGTAAATTTGTATGCAACAAAACAGTAGTTGGAATAAAAATGTTTGGGATGGTACTTTCCCCTCAAAATTTTGTGTCTGTAACTGATACCTGGCTCAGCAGTTCAGGTACAAACAAAACCAGATAAGGAAACATACCAACAAAAGCAAAGCCAACTTTTGCTTTGTATTTGAAGATACACAGATGATCTGAAGATCATTAATACAGCTATTAATTCCACAAATATTCATAAATACAGATCACATGCCAGGCACTATCCTGACCCTGGAGGACCTCGGAGATATGCTTTCTCTTCAAAGGGATCTGAGCTAACAAAGAAAGCCTGGGGGGGACCCTGGATTTCCTCAGTGCTCAGAGGTGCTCACAGCTGCTGGAGCCCCACAGAGCTCTCTGGGGTCTTTGCCTTTTCCCGACACAGTCCTTGGCCCCAGGGCAGCCCTGGTCACAGGATATGGATGGAAGGAATCAAGCCCATCTGGAGAAGGTGATGTCCATGCTGGACCCTGATGGGTGGATTGAAGTTTGCCAAGGACGAAAAGATCAAAACACTTTAAGGCAGAGACATAGAACTGCAGAGGTCAGGAGGCATGGGACGAGGAGGCCAAACTTCCCGATGCATCTTGGTCCCTTTGGGCTGCTGCAAGCACTTCCACAGATTGGCTGGCTTATAAACAACAGACAACTGTTTATCACAATTCTGGAAGGTGGAAGCCCACCCAGATCAGGGTTTCAGCATGTCTGGGTGTCGTCAGGGCCCTCTTCTGGGTGGAAGAAGACAGGTCACTTCTCCTTGTAGCTTCACTTAGGCAAAAAAATGCTAAAGGCCCTTTTATAAGGGCAGGCATCCCCTTCATGAGAGTTCCAGCATCGTGACCTTATCACCTCCCAGAGGCTCTACCTCCAAACGCCATCACACTGGGAGGGAAAGTTTCCACAGATGAATTTTGGAGGAACACACACATCAGCCTAAAACAAAATGGGAACAGTAGGAGACCCCTAATATGGAAGGTAGGATTCATGAGAGGAAGGACTTAAGGCAGACCCTCTGCAGGACCGGGGCACCCTCATCACCCTTCATCCTCAATACACCTTATCCTTGCAACTTGAGTCAGATATGGATTAACTAAAATAACTGAACTAAAATCTCCTAAATGTGAGTCCTTAGCATCTCTGATTTGAGTCTCCTTACAACCAATTTATCAGAGCCCACACAAAAGCCAAAACTGCATGGCGCACACTTCAGAATCTTCAGCCTTTCTGGATTAATTCACTTTAAAAAAAAATTAAAGCAACAATGCTTTTTGGAGTTTTTCTCTCAGTTATTCCTATCCTTATATTTTAATATTTTAAACAGGTGAATCCCATGCCCCAGAGTCTTGCCTTAGGACACCAGAAATCTTTGATTTCTATGTAGCAAAATTATTTTCAGTATTTTTAACAACATTTCTTTAAAGACATTCTAATGTCTGTATAGTTGTTTACTCAATTTGAAAACTCAGTTTGGCTTCTTTTTTTAAATTTAGTTAAAACTCAAATGCTTCCTCATCCTTGCAGCAAGGTTGTTGGTGAGGACTGGTGTCCCCATTAGAACCCGAGTAAATGGTGGGGCAAAAATCTGTCCCAGGTCGTAACGTAAAGCAGCTGAGAGAGGAACTGATGGGAGGCCTGTCCTTCCCTCTGTCCAGATGTCCTCTCAGGGTTTTAAACTGGAAGAAAAGAAAATGACCTGATTCGAGACTGTTTAAGCAAGAAGGCCACTAACCATTCTGCATTGCACTTGTAGAGGGTCTGACACAGAGCATTTTCTCCCCTGCATTCCTGGCCTCTAACATGGGAAGAAAAAAGAGACCCAATTCTTTGCTCAGCTTCCCCATCCAGCCCAGTCTGCTTTGCGAAGATGAGCTGGGAGTCCTGCGAGACCTCAGAAGCGAGCTGTGGAGTCGTCACTGCTCCCTACCCCAGCTGCCCCCCTCATTTCCTAAGGGCTGACTCAGGTCGGAGTGCAGGAGAGCGGACGACCACAGACATCGAACTCTCCCAGACTCGTGCTGATGCTCAGTTCCTGAAGCATGAGTCATCCAGGAAAAATTAATAATGAAAATGGCTAATTTATAACTGGGCACATCCAAGAAAAGGGTGTGTGCCTGTGGAAGGAAAGGGTAATGGTGATTTTTCTCATTAACAGTGGAACTGACTTGAGTGATTAATCTACCACATGAATGAGCTATTTGGAAGGATCGTAAAGTCACTGTGCTGGACACAGGAGCGCAGGCTGGAGAGGCCATCAGCATTTAACCACCAGCTCAGGACTTCTGCTAGTGCCTCTCTGTCTGCCTCTCAGAACCCCCTGATTCCCAGCCTGATACCAGCTATGAAATCTAGCCTCAGAATGCTACAAGTGGAAGGTCTTTGGCACAGAGCTTCCCAGACTTTAACGTATGCATGTGTTACCCAGGAATGTTGTTAAAAAACAGAATCTGCTCTAGTAGTTCCAGGCTGGGGGGGGGGCCTGGGATGCTGCAAGTCCTCAAAGCCCCAAGGTGACACTGATGTCCTGGTGTCCCAGGGACCACACTTAGAGTGCCAAGGATTCAGAATATCTCTATGGCAAGTGCCTCACCCAGCAGAGCAGGAGACCAGGCCCTAATGGCAGGGAGATGTGTGGGGGCCCCAGCACTCAGTGAGCCCTTGGCAGGGTGGGTACTTGGTTGTTTCCAGGGCCTCCTGTCATTAGGGTAGCAAGTACGTCCCTCCTTCTCTGAACCTGGCTGCTCCTTGATATCTCTAGTTTATACATCTGTAGCCTGGGCAGAGAGAATCCTATTTTCCAACTGGAGGCAAGATATATAGTTACAAAGACAGACACCTTAGGTTCAGGTCTGGGTGGGAATCTCAGCTCTATAACCATCCATCATTAATCTATAGCATCTCTTTGAAATGGGCAAGTCATCCAATGTCTTTGGGATGCAGTCTTGGCATTTAAAAAATGATTAGTGTTTACCTCTCAGGGTAGTTGTGAGACTAAATCTGGAGGTGGTATGCACCCAGGACCTGGCTCAGAGCTGGCTTAGCTCATGCTTAGCTCAACCCTCTCCATTTAAACCCTTAAGATTCAGATTGGCAGGTCTCATTTTTAATGCGGGCATCTGTTCCAGGTGGAAAGGCACACTGAAGGATGTGTAGTCCACCCCTTGCAATTCTGTGGGCAGCACACTCCCCTTTGTGTATGCAGCCTTCCATAGGTTATCAATCAAGGAGGAGCATGTGGCCCAGAAATCGCAAGCGACCTTAACTGGTCTCCAGTGCTTGTAGACAATCGAAGTATCATGTAGGTCTCTGATTCCCCAGCTGTGAATCTTCTGGCTATGGCCCCTGACTTCCAGTTACAAGTTGATTTCCAACCATGGTTTCTTATTATCACCTTGTTTCAGGACCCAGATAAGATGCCTGCACCTTCACTGCGATGATCAGTGCACATCCTGGGCTACACACTCTGGTCCAGCTGAGCTGATCTATGGAGTTCAAGTCCAAAGATAATTTCACATGCGTATGTAAAACACTTGGTACCTTGACATCTTTTACATAAATGGCAATGAGCAATCCTTGGCCAAGATTCTATCTGTCCTTAGTATTAATACGGCTATTACTACAGAGCTTTCAGTTGCAGTGTTTTGTCCCACCTCTCTCTTCCTTTCTTTCCCCCCCTCCAAGATGCATGCATAGATTAATTTCTCCTGATGAAATGACTTGCTCCTTTTAGTCAAACTCCTACACTACCAAAATGACAGCCAGTTAAGGAAATTGCTAGGCTTTTGGCAGTTTTTGAGGTTTCTAGGGGGATCGGAGGTAGATACTTCATTTCTATGTCGAACCCTGAAGTCATATAGGAACTTTGAGTTTGCAGGTCTTAGTTCATAACAACACAGCACAGAATCTCAGGGCGCCATTTCTCGATTGCCCAGGAAGATTTTTTCTTGGCCCGCCTGGAAATCAGGGGGACGCTGACAGACACAGCAACTGTCAACTGACAGTGAAGGTAGAGGGTAGGGCTTTATTGTGGGATCGGACCAACTGCATCATTTGTTGGGTCTGTGACATAGGAAATTCATTCTTCCCTTTGAGCTTCACATCATCAAATGAAAGATGGAGATGATGACAACTGTCTCCGGCAGTAGTTGCGAGGGTTAGGTTATCGGACTCTGTATCTCTCATGTGCCTAGCAGAAAACGCAGAAAGGGATGCTTAATTCACACATGTCCGTTCTCCAGCCCCAAGCCCCCATCCCCTGCTCAGGCCACTCCTCTGTCTTCTGCAATCCCTGCTCTTACATAAGTGTGTCATATTTTCTGAGCTTAGTAAAACCAGGGTTGGACATACGACTCCAGTCTATGAGTCACACCAACAAAGCTCACGTCCAAATTATCTTGGTGGTTTTTATTTTTATTTTTATTTGTGCCCTGTTATTTCATTTTTATGGCATCCAGCATAAAGCTGAATATGTTTACATTCTGATCTCAGAAAGCAGGAAAGGTAAGATGTTCACTTAAATTTAATTATAGGCCATGGAGTATGATTAAAACAGATGGTTTTAGAAAATATGTTGAATGTGTTTTTTCTTTCCTTTTTTTTTAAAGAAAAATAAACATTATGATTTTAGTGGCCTTCTTTCCCTAGGTTTCTTCTCTTCACTTGCATTTCTTTTTCTCTCCTCTCTTCCTAATTCGTTTCTGCCTTTCCTTTTATTTTCTGAAAGTGTCTGGATTTCCGCCAGTTATTATTATAAGCTGAATGCTTTGGCTTTGAGCCAAGATGCTGATAGTCAAGCATGAAGCCAAAATGGATGGTTTCTCTTCTGATTCTCCCTCACCCGCTGCATCCCACTGTAGCTGATGGGGGAGGAGAGGAAATTCTGGCTGCCCACATTTTATAAATATGCTCCGATAGTTGGGAGAGCAGAGTCCTGGGGCATAAAAGGCGAGATGGTTGGAAAGGTGAACGTGAAGGATTTGGGGGTCCTTTCCTAGTCATTAGTTGTTAGTTGAGAATCAAGTTAGTCATCAGTCGAGGTCTGACAAAGGTACAGCGTGTGGTGGTTTCCATGTGGGATAGGCCACTTCAAGCCCAACCAATTTCAGGGAAAGGGACCGAAATGTCAAGGAAAAACATTGTCAATCCTTTACACTCACAGAAAATTCTTAGCCCTCATGTCCAAAGAAAGGGGTCTTCAGAACGAAAATCCTGAGAATGGGTATATGAGTTTTCCACACTACTATAACAAATTACCATGAACCTAGTGGCTCCAAACAATACAGCTGTATTATCTTATAGCTCTGGAGGCCAGAACTCCTGAAATCGAGGTGTCAGAATTCCAAGGGAGACGCTATCCCCTGCCCATCCCAGCTTCCAGAGGCTGCCCACACTCCCTCCTGTGGCCCCTTCCAGTGATGGTATTACTCTGACCTGTTTCTACCATCACACCTCCTCCCCCTCTGCACCCATGGTCACACCACACGCTTTCTTTGATCCTCCAGCTTCCCTTCCAAGAACCCGTGTCACTATATTGGGCTCCTGTGGATAATCCAGGGATCATAAGAATCCCTCCTAAGATTCCTCATGTAATCACACCCATAAAGTCCCCTTTGTCATGTAAAGTACCAAATTCCCAGGTTCCCAGGATTAGGACGCACATCTCTTTGAAGAGGTGGTGCTATTCTTTGCCAGAAGGAGCTTTGAGGATTCTCACTTGCTGGCCCCATTGTAACTCACATAAGCGCCAGAAATGGAAGGTTCCAGATGGCTACAGTCCTACCGATGCAGGCTATAGTATTCCTCTAATTTAGCTGAAGGGCGTCCCGTGTACATTCAGGGTCTGGCTCGCCATTAGTGTATTCTAGCCTTAGTCATGCCCATGGAAACCAGGGCAAGCCCATCAGGGCTTGGGGGCATTGACTTCACTCCAGTCCATTTAGGGACAGCCCGTTGCACAAGGCAGGGGATAACTTGTCTCAGCTTCTTAGGCTTCTCCCCAAGTTTACACCTGTGTCTCTCACATTGTTCCCCCCGCCAACCTCTTCAGTCTCAGCTCCCCATTTCTCAATGCAAACTGACATTGGCCTGAAGGCTGAGTAGACCCATGCCAGTGCAGTTCAGAACGACCTTAGGCCAAAACATGAAAATGCCTAGGGACTGATTTCAAATCACACCTGGGCATCTTGAGATATGCTCCTCCCTGTAACATAACCACTGGGATAGAAGAAAATAAAAATAATTAAAAGAAGGGACCTCCACATCAACTCTTCCCTCATCCTTTATTCTCTTGCTGTTGTGTTAACAATTTCCACAGAGATGAGCTCCTCAAACTCAGTTGCTTTTAGGAGATGAGTTCAGAAAACCTTAAAATGCAGTTGTATGAAATGCATACAGGTACAAATCCTGAACATCACATATGCAGGAGCTTCACATCTCAACCCCATTCAAAACATGACATGCAGAATCCCAATCATCCTGGATTTTTAAGCAACACTTTTTTTTAAGTGAGAAAATTAATATATTAGCAATTCAAAAACAGATGATCAAATCAGGATAAAAAAAGGAGAAACATTATTTCTTGCAGGAGACAGGAGAGAGTTAGATTTCTGATGCTATGAAGAGTACACCTAGAAGTGTGTTAGTTTCATACATAAACTGGATATTATGCCTTTGCAATAACCTTTGCTCGATGAAGATATTAAAACTTCATGGTTTGAACATATTTCTGTACAACTGAATAAACAAAAGAATAGTGTTTATAATACTCCCCAGAGGAAAGGTTTAATATCTCTTCATTATTAGGGATGAGTGACTTAAATTATTTCTTCAGGTCTCCAAACAAACAAGATTGTTGGTCTTTCTGACATCCACGGGTATTAGAATATGGCACCGAGGCTATAGGTGACTTACAGAAAGAATGGTATTTTTCCTGAAAATCTGCTTTTGTGGTAAGGGAAGTTTCGGTATCATTTTGTGGCATTCTCATGTTCTTTATTTTTGTTCATTGTATGTTCCTTCAAAGCAAGCAAAAGAGACTATGAGGCTCTTCTTAAAGACAGCAAAGACCCGTAGGGACTCTGCCCAGCTCTGCAGCCATACATGGGAAGAAGGAGCTACAGGGCTTGGACAATGGAGAGTGACTACAGAAGGAGAGGGGAGGTAGACTGCCGTGCTGGTGCAGAACTGAGATTCGGCACCTTGTAAGAGGGTGCTTAAGAAGTACCTGCTGCATCCCACTTGCCCTTTCTGTCATTGGCAGTGTCTCTGTTTTCTGGGTGGACTCCTTTCCTTCATGAACTGTAAGTCCTGTGTGCACTGAGGCCATTGTTCATCTTTGGTTCCCTCCAGTATGGTGGATGTACGTTAGGCTCCTGAGAGTGAAGAGTGAATGAATGACAGGAGTTCCTTGGTAGATACTTTCCTAGTAGATTTCACAGTGAGTGGACTACACTAGTTAATAAATACTAGCTACTAATACATGTTCTTTGTCCACTAAAACTTTCCTTCCCTGTGCAGTTTTGATGGTGCATTGCTAAGCCTGCAAGTTGATGAAATAGGATTTATAAGGAACCCTAAATGGCACCTAGGGCATTTTCAATATGATGCACTGAACTGACCATTGGGTGTTAATTAAACTCAAAATTCCTCAGCTCTCAAAGGGAAAACTGGCAGCAAAGATTAAAGCTTCCAGCAAAGATAATTGACAATTAATTTGCCAATTGCTCATGATTGACCTAAAACTGTTCAATTCAATCAATTATAAAGGCATGTACTTTATCCCCAGAATGTATAATCTATACTTCAGATATACAGTCAATCCTTAAATGTAAAGATACATTCCAACTTAGTTTTTGTTTTAAAGAAGGCCCTGGCAGGCTCCTGTTGGGTATGAATCTGCTCTCTGCCCACACTCAGATAATATTTGTCTTTGTGAACACATATAATCTATTTTATGAATATGAATCCCTAATCTTAAATCTACTAACTGGAGTAGGGATCCTCACTCCTATCCTTGATACCATGTTTCCTTCAGATCCTCTGATGTATTGTCTTCTCTAATGGAGGTCCATATTTCATCAGCCTTTGTCTTTGCATAAAATGCCTTTCTATTGACAAAGCAGGAAAATTGGCAAGGGACCCTGACTTGGAATAAAGACATCCATGTTGTCAATACAACTTGGCCTTATTACTTCTTCCCTCTGAGCCTGACTTTGCCCTTTGTGTAAATGGGGAGTTCAGATTCGATCATACCCAGCACCCTAACCTCCTGCACTCCCATCGTCATTCAACCTGGAAAGCTCTACATACACAGCTTGGTTGTTTCATGAGTTTGCTATCCAAACTTTTCAACAATTGAATCTTTTCTGTCACTCTTTTGGGGAAAAAAAATAAACCATATTTCTTGGCAGTCAAGGAAAATATCTCAAAGACATCCCTAATTATTTCTTTGCCTCCTGTTGGGATGACAACTGTTGGGAGAGAAAACAGAACATAGTATGGATCATATCAGAGGATCTG